CACGGGCTCAGGCAATCCACTCACCTCAGCCTCCCAAAGGCGTGGGATTACAGGCTGAGCCACCGAGCCTGGCCTCTTTTTTTTTTTTTTTCATAAAGATGTGGGGTACAGGGTTAGGTATACCAACATTAATTATGCAAGTAACTTTGTTGATGAGGTATGCCCCTCCCTAGGAAAGAGTTATTATGGAGAGCAAGCTGACCAGGTGTAGTGGCTCACTCCTGTAACCCCAACACTTTGGGAGGCGGAGGCAAGAGGATTGCCTGAGCCTAGGGGTTCGAGACCAGCCTTGGCAACTTGGCGAGACCTTGTCTCTACAATAAATACAAAAAATTAGCTGGATGTTGTGGCACACACCTGTGTTTCCAGCTACTTGGAAGGCTGAGGCAGAAGGATCGCCTGAGCCTAGCAGGTCAAGGCTGCAGTGGCTGTGAGTGTGCCACTGCACTCCAGCCTGGGTGACAGAGTGAGACTCCCACTCAAAAAAAAAAAGAGAGAGAGCAAGCTGGCCATTACAGAGTTACCAGGCAGTGCTGAGAGACTAGAGTGGCAGTGGCACCAAGCTGAATGATCGCACGATTGGTCATACTTTGGTGCAGACCTGGGCAAAGTGGGCAGCTGGGTTCATCCAGAGTTGAAATTTCACCCATCAGGTGCACCAGAAAGACAAAGGGAAAAAAAGCAACTGACTGAAGTGATGGACCAAGATGGGTGGGAGAGCAGTAAGGACAGAAGATGACTGAAGGGAGGAAACAGAGGAGTCAGCAGGTTGGAGGCCTCAGTGAGGTGTGGGGAAAGCCTGGAGGGGTGGTGGGCAGCTGTGATCAGAGTGGAAGTCTGGAACTATCCTTTCAACTGGCAGTTTGGGATGCTGAGGTCTAGGGTGCAGCTGTGGGGACTGGGTGGCAGGCCTGGCAAGGAACTGAGGGATCACAGAGGGCAAGAAGACTGAGGAAATGAGGGTAGGGGCTATCTGTACATAATCTTGCTGTCTTAAGCCTGGAGGGAGCATCCAGATGCCCCCTAACCCTGACCACAGCCCATAAACGCTTCAGTCCTCTCTAGGCAAGGGCCTGGTGCCTTGCCTAGACCCTCAGCCTGCTTTGGCACAGCATTTCTTCTCTGATGTGTCCCTTCCCCCATCTCCACCTACTGGCCTGGCTCCTGCTGTCAAAATGGGTGGACACCCCATCCTAGTTCCTAAACTACAGCCCTCTACCCCCCTCGTTGTGAGTGCTGAGAACAGCTGCCTTGCTCTACCACCAGATTGCACCTTGCATCAGTCAGTAAATCCTTAACCTTTTGAGGGGTCTCAGATGTAGTGAGACTTCATTAAAGCTGAGAACCATGTTTTTTTTTTTTTAATGCAGCTGGGCATGGTGGCTCACACCTATAATCCCAGCACTTTGGGAGGTGGAGGCAGGAGGATTGCCTGAACCCAGAGGTTCAAGACCAGCGTGGGCAACTTGGCAAGACCTCATCTCTACAATAAAGAATTAAAAGTAAAAAAAAAAATTAGCCAGACACGGTGATGCATGCCTGTAGTTCCAGCTACTTAGAAGGCTGAGGTGGAAGGATTACCTGAGCCCAGCATGTCGAGGCTGTGGTGGCTGTGGAGTGTGCCACTGCACTCCAGCCTGGGTGACAGAGTGAGACTCCCACTCAAAAAAAAAAAAAAAAAAGTGCAAACAACCAACTTCATATCCAAATTCAAAGGATTCCCAGATCCTTGCCACTGATGTCAACCAGATGAAACCTGAGTTTGCCGTGCTGCTTTGGACAGTGTGATTCGGATTGCTGGCCGCCACCCTCCTGTCCTGCACAGGATCAGCGTTGAGACTGGGTGGGTCCCTCTAAATCCAGTACGCAACTTCAGTTGGCGGAGGCTGCACAGCTCGTGTCAGCCACCGTGCTGGTTCTCTGCCCCTTTCCTGAACTCACTGGAGACAGAACCCTGCCACTAGTGTCTCCTTGCTCAAATCCGACCAAGTGACTCCCACCCCCTTCTCCCCTCTCCCCAGAGTAGATACCTGGTTCTTGTGTGCATGTGAAGAAGGACTTCAGTCTATCCTCCATGGTGCTCAGCCTCTGCTCCATGGTGTTCAGCCTCTGCTCCAAAACCTGCCTCTGCCCCTCCTCATTTTGCAAGGTCTGCTTTGTCTTCTCCCTGTCTGACTGGCAGTCCTGTAACTGCCCTTCGGCAGCCTGGTGAACCCTCTGTTCCGTCTGTAGTGCCTCCTGACTCTTTGCCAGCTCTCTCCGGGAGCCCTGCAGGTCCTCTTCTTTCAGCCTCAGCTGGGTTATCTTCTGATGGAGCTGCTGCCTCAGGCTGCCATTGGTGGCTTCCAGAATCCTGTTCACCTGCTGGAGCTGCTGAAACACCTGCAGATCTGTTGAGCCAGAAAGAGAAAGCTGAAGGGATGCATCTCCTCACTGCGCCCTGGTGCCCTTTTTCTGCCTCTCGCAACTTTTTCTGTAACAGGCTGAAATCTAAGATCTGACTGCCTGAAGCTTAAGGACGTGCTGCTATTAGGAAAGGACGACTTGGAGGAGGGGCGCTCTTCCAGAGGGACCTGGCTGGAAACCAGACCAAAAGCTGAAAGGATGTGGTGGTACCGACTGGGCCCTGCTGGGGGGGGGGGGGCAGCTTTCGGGAAGACGAGGGGAGAAAGTTACTGGGCATAAGCCGTACTCACAGCGCACTCCCAGACAGATGGCGGCCACTCCCAGCAGCAGGCAGACCAGGAGCAGACCCAGCAGGAGGTATTGCAAGCAGGCTGCGCGGCCTTGGG